TAAACTTATCTACATGGCTCCGTCAACGGAGCCATGTAGTCTAGACATACCCTAAGATTTCCAAATCTTCAGATCATTTAGAGAACAGGTCCTTTTACTGTATTTCACTGTAATTCTTTAGAGGAAACATTTTAGTTTATGTGGCTCTATCCATTAAACATTTTTAGGGTAAATTAAGTTAATGTATTTGTAGAGGCCTTATTTGAGAGAAAGGCCCCTATCTCATAGATGCTTAATGGGACTCCCTGGCTTTATCTCCAAATAGTGGCTGCTTCTGACTGAATGGGTGCTTACCTCTTCATGATGGCTGCAGTTAGTTTAGAGCAGGGGTCTCCAAACTTTTCTGCCCGAGGGCCGCATTAACTATCAAACAGCAGTTCGGGGGCCGACTACACACTTGAGGTCCAAATAAAAAACAATCAAAACATGGATGTTGTTTTTAATTATTTATTTAATATTATTTTATTCAGTTATTATTTAATAACACATTGATACACTACACATGAACACCTGTATTAGTGTGAATGGTGAAATTGTTTCCTGGATGCCAAAATAGCAGACATTTCTGGCTTTAGAAATCACTGTTTGAAATTGGGGGTGGTGCTTGTCCTAGTCCTGCAGGAGGGGCTCCAGAACGGGGAAACTGCTGAGAACTCATTTCCACCTGCGCAATGTGATGAAAATTGTAAGCAACATAATCCTGGCAATATGTTCAGCCTAAGACACTCACACTTGAAGAGATGTGATCGCTCTCCTATCATGCAGGGAATGAGGTGACAATTTGTAACATAGCCCCATGGAACAAGGGGCATGCATTTTAATGGGAAAAGCTGGTTTGAAAGCAGACACGTTATCACTTGGTAAAGGAAGTTGGAAAGCAGTGCCCAACGCTCCCACAGACTGATACCCGGCAGGGCGGTGCTGCTCTGGGTTGTGGATGAGAGAGACCAGACGTGGAAGGGAGAGGGATGTTTCTTCAGGGCGCACTGCAGGGACCAGGGCAGCGCGCTAGGCACGGCACAGCGTCACCCAGAGGCTGTGCCACAGCAACCAGACCGCCTCCTGCAATGGGCACCAGCTCCTCAGCCCCGCCCCCGGAGGGCGCTTCTCCGGGGGAGGGGCTGTCAGTGTGGGGAGTTTCTTCCCCGCCCCAGCTCCGCGGCGCTGCGCCGCTCGGCGCTTCTCCAGGGGAGGGGCTGTTCGTGCGGGGAGTTTCTTCCCCGTCACAGTCTCCACGGGCCGGATGAGAGGGCCTCGCGGGCCGCAGTTTGGAGACCCCTGGTTTAGAGGATAGAAATTATGTTTTTGCTTTTGCCTGACCATTACTACTCCCTCCATTTTTGAGACTGAGGTGTCTCTCTCTCTTGTTAAGAAAAAGGACCTGCCTTAAAAGCCAACCCATAGTGGCTAATGGAAGTGATGAGCTTCAGGAAGCTATAAAGAATATGATCTGTCTAACAGACCGCTATCTTCATGGTTCAGAGGACATCAGCATATGGGCTAGATTCTGTGCTGTGTCTCTCAATAGAACTTGTTTTTATTACAAAACAGACAGAATATTCTCTGGTTTCATTTCAGCCTATAATGCTCATAAGAGCATTGAAAATGTTTGGGCACATAGACGACTGTTATCTTTGAGTTACAATTTGACCCTCCTGGCTGGTGAAAACCAATGCAGGCATGTTGTTTCTTTGTTAGAGCTGATTTTTAGTGCTTCCATGAGGCATATATTTTCTTGAAGCCATAGATGGATTCTTGCTTAACAAGTAATCTCATGGCATTGACCATCTTTCCAAATATTGCTCCTTTCTGGATCTCCAATGGTAGTGAAACAGCTCCAGGAAATCTAGAGGTTTCAAAACTTTTTGACCCTAGTCAGCTGAGTTTTAGCCCTGTGATGATACTGAGATGACACTGGTCATGTTGGATTTTGAGCTTCTGCATTCAAAGGTGAAGGTGCTTGTGAGATGGGGAAAGCAATGAGAGAAATGTCATATACTATAGTAGCCCCCTTAATTTACAAGATATGCTCAAGATGAGTTAAGTAAGAGGGCATGTTTCTGCTTGCAGGATATTATCCTGGACCCCCAGCAGCTATTAGATACGCAGAAACAGTAGTTGCTATTTGTGCCTTTTGCTGGCCCCAATTCTGGAAAACATGTTATTAAATCTCACAGACTTCATTGGGCCTTAAAGCTAAGTCCTTGTTTAAGCACCCTTCCAGGACAGGATACTTTCCTCCATCCAGGACGTATGTACTTGGTGAGAAAGTGGTGCTCTTCTCTTTCAGATGTAGTTCTTGTCATGGACTTGGTTACTATGAAATCAGGTTATCGCAATGCATTTTACATTTTTAAATGCTTTAGAAATTTCAGCAGAAAGTGGGTGGCTCTACTTGTACAACACACAGATAGCACATTACACTGGTCACCATTATTGGGTTTACCTATAAAGTTCAGGTAAGGCATAGGTAATAATTTGAATCAATTAATAACTACAGCTTAGTGACACTGCCTTGGCTAATTCAATATGTAGCAACTGGGTTTAGAGGAATGTCATTGACAGACAGACTCCAGTGCAGTATACATGCTGGAGAAGTGGGAGGCCGAGAACAAACTTTTATGAGCTGTTTTCCCTAAATGTGGATTTTCAGCTTCCCAGTGCTCACTGTGTGGTTTAATTTTTGTGGCCCATGTCAGCTGACACATCTTTCTTCGTATATATGTTGCTCTGCTAATGTGCTGCCACTCCGTAGCCTTTATTAGATTTAGAACTTGCAAAGTTATGGAGATCTTAAGCTACACAGGGATCTAGAGTTTTAGATTTACATATTACTAGCATATTTACCTGATGTTGCTTGTGTCCTTAAGAAGGGGCTCAGGATGTGGGGAGTAGAGTGGGTGCAGGAGTCAGGGTTGGGGGGTCAGGATGGCCTCTGGGCAGGGAACTGTGTGTTGGGGAGGATGGGACCCCCAGGTTTGTACCAGGGCTGCTTGCTCTTCCCCTTCCTGTCTCTGTCAGGGAACGAGAGCAAAGTGCACAATAGGAACGTACAATTTTGATTATTTGGCTAATCATATAGTCAATAAGGGTGCTTCTGCCTTTGAAGAGTAGCCACAGCCCTGGGGCTATAGCTAAACTTCAAAGGCAAAAGCGCTGTGGGGAGCATGGGGCCAGAGGGGGACTCAAGCAGTCCTCAGCTGGCCTTGTGCTCCCAGCGGCATTTCAGAGTGGCAGCGCCACATGGAGCGTAGGCTCAGCTGGGGACTCTGAGTCTTCAGCTGACCCTGGGCTCCATGCAGCTCTGCCGCTTTGAAACGCCGTGTGGAGTCCAGGGTAAGCTGGAGACTCCCCCACTGACCCTGGATTCCACGTGGTGCTGCCACTTTGAAGCACCCCTCATTTCCCCTCCCCACCGCTTGCTGCCTCTTTCTGATAGAGGCAGCAAGGACGGGGGGAAGCAAATGGTTGACTAGCCTGTTGACTATCCGATAAGCATTTGCTTATCAGATAGTCGACTAGTTGTTCACATCCCTAGTGCACATCTTATATGCCCCCTGCATTCCGCAGCCAAAATGAGGAATTCTGCAAACTGTGCACTTACCTCTCACTCCCTGATGAAGAGGGACAGCCACCAATATCCCCATATGATTCTGGGGGGAGGAGCTTCAGCCCTCCCTCCCCCCTCCTTAAAGAGCATCTGGGAAGGGGGATGTGAGGCTCAGAACTAGGGCAGTCCTGGATAGGGGAGGGGGAACTTCCTCAGCCAGCCCCTTTCACTTGCTTGGTGATTTTATCTCTTTTCTGTATGGTTATGCAACACTATTCCGGGCACATCCCATTTCCCTGGCATAACCAAACTCTTATGTTGCTTTTAATTATGAAAAGAGGAAGCTGTATACTGAATTTGGTAGTCCTAGCTCTTAACAGTTTAGGAGGAGTTCTTGAACAAACAGACAGTCAGACAAACTCTCTCAAATATATAGGAAGATTTATCCAGCATTGCTCAGCCCTTAACTCAAATACATTTTGTTTTTCTTCATTTAAATCATTGTTTCAGGGCGGGACTAGGGATGAGAGGTTCAGTATGCAGGCTGCTCTAGGGAGAGAGGATAACCCCAGCCCTCTTAACCCAGCAGCTAGGGGCCAGGGGAGAAGTGTCTGTCTATGACTGCTGCACATCCAGGGAGGGGCTAACAGACAAACAGACCCACGAACAGACAAACTCTCTGAAGTATATACTAGATAGCTGGCCCTTCCTCCACCCTTGTCCCCTGCTGGTCTAATGTGGTTGTAGCGGTTCTGGTCCCTGTCTCTGGGCCCTTGCCCCCCCACTTCCCACTGTGGTCATTCTGCAGTATAAATGCACATCCTGCCAGACTCTGCCTTTTCCATTTTATAAGAAAAAATTGAATTCCAGGCATATTCCACTGTCCTGGCACAACCAAAGCCTTACCTTGCTTTAAGTTATGTTAACAGGATGCTGCATGCCAAATTTGATGGTCCTAGTTCTTACTATTTAGAAGGGGTTCTTGAACAAACGGAGTCACAGACGGACAGACAGACAGGTGTACATTTCTAAAATATTTAGTAAGATGGATAGGTGTCTACTTTATTTTAGACATTATCCTAAATTGTGAATACGTGTTCCTTAGTGTTCCTGACTTTGCAGAAGTGAAGTATCCATATATAATGATGCTGGTAATGTTAACAATTTGTAATTCCAACAAAGCATGTAGAAAATAAATTGCAGATATATTCAAATCCTTATCAGTAATCAGTTTTAAGTTGCACTCAGAAGTACACATTGCTATATTGTTAATGACTGCAGCCTTGTATTGCATTTACACAAACAAGCTCAAAATAAGATAACGTGGCTCGCAATTTGATACACCCTCCACTGAGGGCCTGAATTAATATCAATTTAGTAATATTCACAAAGAATCATTAATGCAAATTTCATATAGAATTACAATGCACCACTTTGTTTCTTTTGACAGGATCATTGAAGCTATCTGCATAGGCTGGTTCACTGCCGAGTGCATTGTGAGGTTCATCGTCTCCAAAAACAAGTGTGAGTTTGTCAAGAGACCCCTGAACATCATTGATTTGCTGGCAATCACTCCTTACTACATCTCTGTGCTAATGACAGTTTTCACAGGGGAAAATTCTCAGCTCCAGAGGGCTGGAGTCACCTTGAGGGTCCTTAGGATGATGAGGATTTTTTGGGTGATTAAACTTGCCCGTCACTTCATTGGTCTTCAAACACTTGGTCTGACTCTGAAGCGTTGTTACAGAGAGATGGTAATGCTTCTTGTCTTTATCTGTGTTGCTATGGCAATTTTTAGTGCACTTTCACAACTCCTTGAAAATGGGCTGGACTTGGGAACAAAGAATAAGGATTTTGCCAGCATCCCTGCTGCTTGTTGGTGGGTAATAATCTCCATGACCACGGTTGGTTATGGTGACATGTGCCCCATCACTATACCTGGAAGGATTCTTGGTGGAATTTGTGTGGTTAGTGGAATTGTTTTATTAGCATTGCCTATTACTTTCATCTATCATAGCTTTGTGCAATGTTATCATGAGCTCAAGTTCCGATCTGCGAGGTACAGCAGAAGCCTTTCTGCTGAATTCTTAAATCAATGAGTGTGCCTGCTTTTTGTAATAGTGCTTTGCTTAGCCTTGGTGGAAGAGAAGATGGACACTGCTTGTGCACACCCATTTTGCTGGATGATCTAAGGAATTGCATAGTCATCAGCCTCAGAAATACATCAGTCACCATGCTCATCTGAAGGATAACTATTTGCTTTGGGTCTCATGGTAAGAAGTGTGATCACCAGTTTATTTGAATCTGATGTTGAGATCTGAAAGGAAGAAAATCGTATCTTCCAAAATAACAGTGAGCCTGGAAAGTTCTCAAGACCTCATGGGGTCTGAACTTCTCTCTGCCCGTCCAGACAACTACACACACAAAGCATGGGCTTGGTACCAAGAAAGAGGATGGCCTGCGGCTCAGTGGGAATTGCAGGTACCCACCCTTCTTCATACTGATATCCCATAGCCTTCCAAGGAAGCTATAGCAGATATCATTCTAACGTTTTTAAATCTAGAGTTTCCTTGGAGGAGTAGATACCTTGTTGACATAAAACCTGCTTTAGAAGGGTTGGCATTGGAGAAGAATTCCTGCTACTTTTAGTTCCTCCAAGTCATGCAGCAGTTGGAATAATCTGATTCTGCAGTTGAAGGAAGAGGAAAAGAATTTGAATACACAAAGCAAAGAGAGTCTCCCAGCCCAGTTCTGATGTCACGTAAAGCCACAGTGACAGTGAAGTCAGTGGAGTTACTCCAGATTTTTACTGGAATAACCAAGATGAGTGTACTTCCCTTTCTATTTTGTGTCATATGCTTAACCACAACTGCCATGTCTCTGAAAGTAAGATATACAGTAGCAACTAAGGTCATATTTTATAAAGATCAGAGTAAAATCGAGTTGTTGATGATGTGATCAATATTTCAACTGGTAGTTCAATGGGATAGAGATTAGGGTTGTACACAAATTTGAAACGTACACAATCTACTAAGTATAAGCTTTGATTTTCCACCATCCCTTTTTATTAACCACAAATATCACCTTATAGAGAAATAGTATTCCAAGGAACATGATGTGAGTCTGTCATTTGAGATGTTCTAAAATTTCCTGCACAAAGCACTAGAAAAGAGGTCTGCAGTGTCTGTTTCCATTTTCAAATTGTATGATTATTCTTATTGAAAGACCTATTGTGAATTGATGCAATTAATTTAAATTTTAACAACTGTAAAGCAGCCCAGGTGATATTAAAAAGTAGCATTTTAGCTGGGTAGAAGCAGTGCTTAACAAAAAATATATTTTCCCCTGTAAGTATGGAATTAAGATGAAGTTAGGTTTTCACGTTTCATATAATACATTTCTTATGTAGTACTGCTTTATAACATTATTAAATATGACTTTGGAAAGTTACCATGTAGAACTGTGCTGTTAAATATTAAAACAAATTTAGGCACAGCTAAACCAATACTATTTACCACCCACCATTAACAGGAAGGCTACGTCTAGACTACATCCCTTTTTCGGAAAAGGGATGTAAATTAGACGTATTGCAATTGCTAATGAAGCGGGGATTTAAATCTCCCGTGCTTCATTAGCATAAAAATGGCTGCCGCTTTTTTTGGCACGGAGATTTGTCGGAGAAAAGTGCCAGTCTAGACGTTGATCTTTTGAAAAATAAAGCCTTTTCCGAAAGATCCCTTATCTCTCTTGAAATAAGGGATAAGGGATCTTTCGGAAAAGGCTTTATTTTTCAAAAGATCAACGTCTAGACTGGCACTTTTCTCCGACAAATCTCCGTGCCAAAAAAAGCGGCAGCCATTTTTATGCTAATGAAGCACGGGAGATTTAAATCCCCGCTTCATTAGCAATTGCAATACGTCTAATTTACATCCCTTTTCCGAAAAAGGAATGTAGTCTAGATGTAGCTGAAATGTTTTTATTACTCAGAATCACCAGTCTATTTGAATTTGGTGTGCTTGCCTGAAAGTCGCTGTAAACTGTTTACTGTGTTTGCATTGTAGAATCACCTTTGGATGTTTTGTGTACATTTGTCAGCTTTAGAAATAGAGTGACTGGCACCTAGTTACAGAAGTCTTTAGTATTTATAACTAAAACTAAAAAATATTAGGAAGGGTGCTTAGCTATTACTTAAAGGCCATATGCTGAAAAAAGAAATATGTTGCCATTTTTGCTGCTGAAGACCTGAAAAGTTATGAATCATGTTAATTGGCAAGCTGTCACTTTTAGGGGAAGGGGATATGTACTGATAAAGCCAGTCATGGAGAGAATGGAAATTATTGTACTGCCAGGAGCTGTAAAGTAACCTGAATGAAAAGTTGACTATATGCTTGATTGCAATACCCATAAGTTTACACTTCCCAATACTAGTTTGCTTAGTTTCTTTTTTCTGTAATAGTTTCTAAAGCAGCATTCCTCAAAGTGGCCATGAGCCCACTTTGGGAAATCCACTAGCAGGTGTGCATCACTTAGTTTATCTAAAGGGTTTGTAGCCACAGAGCCTTGCAGTTCCTATTGGCTCTGGTTTGCCATTTCCAGCCAAGTGGAGCCGTGGGAAGCAGCGTGGCCCAGTGAACCAGAGCCAATGGGAGCTACAAGGCTATGTGGCTATGGACCTTCTAAGTATTCAAAGTGGCGCAGACCCACTAGTGGTTTTCCCAAAGTGGTTCCGTGGCCCACTTTGAGAAACACGGTTCTAGAGAATCTATTGTTGTGTAGAGCTGCTGCTACAGCTTTGACATCTCTGTATTTTGCTCAGAGGTGAATAATCCTTGCAAGATGAGGAGAAGGGAGAGGGCAGAAAAGGGGGTCACTTTTGGAGCAAGAGCCTCAGCTGGTATAGGCTGGCCATTTCCCATGACTCTAGAGAATCTGTCCCTGGTATCACCAGCTGAGGTTCTGGGCCTTACCATAAATAATACTCTTAATTAAACAAAAAAATTCCCCTAAAAAATGAAAGTTAGCCTTTTCACCCATTGAAGACTGAAGATACTTCAGCCAAAGTTAATGTTTTGATAGAAGCCCAACGTTTTTTTGAAGAAAAAAAAACCTCTACAAAAAATTGGCTTTGACAAAATGAAAAATTTCCATCCATATAATACTGAATTTCTATTATGTTCTTCCACTAGTGTTTAAAAGCTAGCACTACACATTCTTCATATTCTATTTTCCAATTATTAGAAACTCTTGGGTGAATTTGTTTTCCATGTAACTTTTTCCAGACTACAGTGCCTTCAATCTACAGATTATATTTAAACAGATTAATGCCCTCTGCTTGGGATGCAAAATACAATATACAATTTTAGCAATTTGTGTCTATCTCATAGTTTTAAATGTATACAGATATGAAATATGCTTCATGTGAAATAAAGCAAAGTCAGTTATAAATTCATGTACACTATGACTTTCAAGTACTGATTTGTACTGTACAGGCAATTGAATATTAGATATTCCAAAGACAAACAAATGTCTAGAATATGTCTGACGTAGGTGTGCAGAAAATGTACTATTTTATAAAGAGTTTCCAATGGGTAAATTCTTATAGACTACAAAGAATATAGTCACCTACTTAAAATGCTTATGTAAAGGAATATATGTTTATGAAAAGAGAAGATCATCTTAAATACAACTTTTAGATTGCTGTAGATCAATTTTTATTGCAGAAGGTAAACAAAAATACCTAATGTATTTTAAATTTGCATTGCAGTAGAATAATTTTGAATAGCTGAATAAATATTAAGTAAGAGTGTAGTCCATATAAACTTACCCTAAATATAAGCTAGTAACAGAGAGACATTTGCTCTTTTCTTTATTTTAGTGTAGCATGGCTATTAATATATTGACAAGAGGTCTCCCTTATTCTTACAGGGTACATCTACACTACGTGGAAGGTCAATGCTGCCACGATTGATGGGTTTGATGTAGTGGGTGTAGTATAGACCCACTAGATCAAACTCAAAGGACGCCCCATCTGCGCCAGTACTACTGCTTCTCATGAGGAGTAAGGGAAGCTGACAGGAGCGTTTGCTCCCATCGGTCTCCCTCTGTGTGAATGGCATGGAAACGCGATGTAATATACTTTTCTGGAGTTATGTATCTTATTTTGACCTTTCAACTTAGTGTAGACCAGGCCTTACAAGCCAAGTTGAAGTAGCCTTATATCAGAGGTAGCCTTAAAACAGAGAGCCTTATAGTGAAGGGGTTAGGATATTTTTATTTATAGTGATGCTTATTGTCTTATTTTCAATAGATTAGTTTTCCTAGTGAAACTTTCTATAAATATCCTATATATATTGAATTATATATGTGCATAACGATAAGCATTTATTTAAAATGGTTAATAAGTTACTTCATCAAAATGCCGCTCGGCTTTCTTTTCAGTTTTATATAAACATTTTGGTGTAGAGTTCTCTCCACCTAATACAGCATTTCAAAAACTAAAAGAGGATAATTGACTAATTCTCAACCACTTTCCTCACCTCCACACCAGAACAAAATTGTGTTCCTATATGTAAAGTGCTCAGTAACATCTCTAGGGACAAGTTACCAAAGAACATAAAAGACAATTTTTTATGTGTATCCTGACAATTTAAATAAAAATATGAAGAAAATATGAATGCAACAAATCTTAAAGAAATAATAAGTTGTCACAATAGTACACAAAGGCTTCAAAATTCAGCCAGTGTAAATTAATACCAACCTCTGGAAATTTTACCACTTGACACCAAAGGCTAATTATCAATTAGATTTTGGGCTCAAACCCACAAGGGGTGCTAAGTATTGGAGAGTGCTCTTCTGCTGAAATCAGTAGGAGTGGAGGGCACCCAGCAACTTGCAGGATTAGGCCCAGAGTCTGTTTTTTTTTCTTACTCTCCTGCACAACAAGATACCACCCCTAAATCTTCAGTTGTGGAATATTAGTTACTGTCTTTGGATATCAGGTTGCTCCAGCAGGGATACTCGATGCTTCTAAAGGTACATATAAGAAGAGGAATATAATCTTTGACCTTTTATCCTAAAAATCAGATTAAGACAAACAAAACACCACAGAGACAAGTGATTGCAGTCACAGTGGCCATTCCCAGGTGAGACTAGACTCCACATTGACTATTTTCAAAAATGTTGTCTAGATGGGTGCAGGTTGTCTAGGGCATGAATTTAAATTTTGAGGTTTAAAATATCCTCTGTTAGAGGGGCATATTTTGAGCCTTGTGAACATTGCAGAGAGCCCAGTGAATATGAAAATCCTTTTATGAGATTCATGACCTGACTAACATTTATGTAAGGGAGGGATGGTGGATGCAATTTCCATTGTGCAAACAATCTGTGGCTGTAGTACAGCCTTCAGCCAAATCCTACTGATGGCTTTGTGGCTCCAAAACCAGAGGCCTATCTCTCTTCAACTAACTTAATCACAAATACCGTAACAGATCTGAACTTCAGCCCAGGAGAGGACATAAAGCCCCAACATTTACATTATGCCAATTTCTTCTCACAAGCTATCCATGGTAAATTTATCAGTCAAGCTCTGGCTATTTTTAATTTGTATTTGCAGTATACAAAGGCCCAGATGTTGCAGTTTTGTCTATCTAGGTGCAGGGGTCCTTTCACAAGGAGGCAGCTGCCAGATCATAGCCCAGGGCTGTGTATAATGATTGATCATGTTGATTGAGAAAGAGATTTTGTTTTCATGACTTTTCATGAATCTGGTTCAAAGAAACAAAACATACTTTGTTTTTTTAATTTTCACATTTTGAAATGGATCATTTTCTTACTGATGTTTGTCTTTGTTTTACTGATTCTCTTCTCCCCCTGCTGCATAAAAATAGCTCCTGTTTATATTAATGAGTGTGGTAGATTCCTAGCTCCATTGAACCTATCATAGTTTATACCAGCTAAAGATCTGTTTCAGTAGGTAATGTAGTAGACAATAAATTGCAATTCATATAATTAAACACTGAAAATTAACTAACGTATGTATGGTTTATTGAATAAAATGTGGAATAAAAAAACCTTTGTGAATGGCATCATGAGTAAAAACTCAAGAGGAATATGTTGTGAGATTGATATATACATTCAGTGAAATTGTTCATCTCTCAATCTAAATTCTAAGGGTCAGAGATTAAATATAAACTTTGATCAAATTATTAAAGTGACAATGTTGACTGATGCTTTTTAGAATCCTTTGTTATTTGCAAATTTAGTAATGAATAATTTTTATAGAATATTGATTTTATATGGTTTGCATAAGTGTAAAAAACCATTCTGTATAACATTTGACAAGTTAATAAATTTTTGCTTCCTTAACTATCTGAATACAGTATTATGTACATGTCATCTCCACATAAATCTCCTGGATTCTCCAATGTATTTTCCTGTGTGAGGCATAAGATACAACACAAAATAAAATTTATCAGACTTTTTAAATAGAAGTCTTACATTATTCTATTTTATTTTAAGATATTGCAATTTTTTTTTTTACCATCAGTTATACCAAGAGAACTTCTTGTATGGATAGCACTATATTGGTGGGAGAAGCTACTGCTG